AACGCAACCAGATAGGTTGACATATGTGGTGTAATATGGAAATCTTCGCGAACATAGCCCGGACGTGGACTTCTGTAATAATAATTCATCCGAAAATTGGAACCAGCAATTCAATTGGCAGAGTGTTATTTAATAAGGGCACGGAAAAATGTTTGTCATTTGAGGGAAAAAAAAACGTACGTAATATTTTTGCTGGGCATATTGGATAGTGCTGTGGTGAGGTTTTCATGATGAATCAAGCTTATCTCGAACTGGGCCTTCTTATCGGGACGATCAAAACAGGGGAACGCACGCCTGGCGTCAATCGGAGAGAATTGCGTGCTCACCAACCATCTAGGAATCAACCAACAGAAAAATGAATCATACATTCAAAACAAGAGCGCAATTAATCATTTGATTTTGGCCGTTAGCTTCATTTTGAAATCATACACCCCACCCCGCACGCAAAAATCAATAATAATCGCACACTCACACGGCAACTCACAATTAGTCACCCACTTAAGGAATGACAGAGAACCACAACGCATTTGCATTGTATGACTAAGTGTGAATAAGTGAATCAATTGCTTACTTTTTGTCCGTAGTGTCGATGTCATGGTATCCAACGCGATAGAATCCTTGCAGTGTATTCGATAGCTGGCTGATGAATTTTATGTCCACTTGCAGTGTTGTGTTTCTCGGCGTCTCCAGAAGCTCGATGACATATGTTTCGTTATTATCACCATAGTCGTCCTTGATTTTAAGAGGCGATGCAAGCGTTGCATTACTTTCAAACACTGTGAAAATATGATATCATTGTAATGAAAATTCCAAAACTCTCGGATCAATGTTAGTTGAATGCCTGCACATTTATTACTGGTGCTGAACCCGAGCACTTACCTTTAGCCTTAGTAATCGTGATATTGTTAATGTCTAAAACGATGTTTGGCCAATCTTCTACATTGTCGTCTTTCACAATGTCGATCTCAACATGACCATAGCTAATGCCGTTTTCCAACTCCGGCCCCATAACCAATCTGCAAATGAATAAATGTCTCAATGCTACTGTTCTGAACTCTTAACCATTTTTTTTCTGTTTTTTATGCTAAATTCAAAACATTCCAATGGATTCTCGTCATACCAACGCCAATTGATTGATCTCTAAGCCAACATCAATTCAACAATATCGACAAAGTGTTCGCTTAGAATAGTTTCTATTTCCAGATAATGGATTTTCGTCTGTGCACATTTCAAACAAAGTATTATTCACATCTTGAGCTGCAATTTAAAAATAGTTTATGCTATCGTCAAGTGATCACTTGCCGCAATTCATTTCGAACGCTGAAACGTGTTTACATAGGTATCTATCGTTCTATCGATTGTACGGGAATAAACCATATATAAAATCTTCACGCTTAAATGAATACGCTGAATGAATAAATGTAGGAGCATGCGATGTGGTTTTGTGTTAGCAACACATATCGACTGACGCTAGCACTATGTTCCAAACAGACGGAATTGACTCGAAGCGATGAAGATCGCATTTTTTCACAATTTCCAATTCATAAACAATGCGTATGAATGACGAAATGCCGGAGCCGCGGAGAAATGTTGAATTCCAATTTTGTTGCACGTGTGTGCTGTGCATCGACGCTACATTCGAGTCACCCGAGCAACAAACAACACACAGAAAATTACATTGTCAGCTTGATCCGATAATGAAATTTATTGCATAAACAATATCGTTGTTCAAACAAAAATGAATGTGCGCGACGAATCCCTAACGCACGGCGTGAAAATGCAATGGAAAAAGGAAGACACGAAAGAAATAAAGAAAAAAAAGGGTCCGCTTATTTTGCCGGTGATAACATTCAATTTCAGCGCTTCGACTAAGTGATTTCGATCTTCCCCATCGGCAATCACTTCTTAATGCATTTTGTGTATATTTGCCATCAAAATTATCGTCCGATGATCTTTTTTGCCTGGTTACGAGCCACAAAATACTCATTTCGATTGTGTGCGTGTAATTGGCAGGTAAACTGAACAAAAAAAAAAAAACAAAAATTCATACCGAAGTAGAACTCGATTTGCGGTGAATCGTTTTTAAATAAAGCGATAGGAATGGGATTTCATTTTTAAAAAAATGTCGTCCAACAATGCGCCATGGGTGTTTGATTGCGGTTATGAATATGAATTATGTATGCATAACATTTTCTCTACGATTGCAAACACAAATGAAAGATACGAAATAGAAATCGAATCCATGTTAAGCTGGAGAAGATTCACTGTAGAAAATAATTCGAAATGACGCCACCACCAGCAACACCAACAATAACAACAATGGGTATTTTAAATTGGCAGACTCCGTTATCTCGCAAACAAAACTTTCGATTTGTTTAAAGGTGAAATGGTTAACGCTAGAATACGAAATCAATGAATGAAGTGTTTTCATTCCAATGGCAAATGTCTCGAGAATTTTTATAGAAAGGCAACGACCATCATTAAAATCAATGTTAACCCTCTAATGCATTAATTTTTCCCAGGGCTGGGAGTACTGGTACTTGGTTGATTTTTGGCCATAGATATTTAAAAAAATATTCATAATCCTGGATTCCTCATGGTTTAGTCAGGAAATGCGATTGACATAAATCAGAGAACAATCCATTGTTTAAAAGTGTCAAAAATTTGTCTAATTTGGAAACCAAATAATTTATTTTGTCAAATTTTTGTTTTTGCACGCATTTTTGTTAATAACTTTACAATCACACTACGTGGACAAATATTGCCAACGACAAAAATGAAGAGAAAAATTGACGAATAAAAATTCCTTTTGAAGCAATGTGATCCGATGTACGGTTTACGTTCTACAGGCATTCAGATGTTGCCCGTCTAGAGGCGGTTGTATGCATTAGAGGGTTAAAGGCAGGCGCCAGTGTAAATAATTTGTTTTGTTTTGTTTCCAACGGCAATTCTCACAGACGCCTGGAACCTGCTCCATTCACCAACAATCGAACCATTTTAAATTCTATCGCAACCAATAACAAAAATGGAAATGAAATTTTATTATTTTCTAAACGATGCCATATTATGAGCTCGGAATTTCGTGTTTGTTTGCAATGAATGGACTGAGTGAGCGAGTGAATGAAAGTCATAATCGTTTCATAACCAATTTCGACCCGGCACGCACAGCTGGTACAGCGGTTGTGATAATGACAGTGTACGTTTCATATTGGTACACCGA